TCGCACATATAGGAGGAAAGTCGCCTAATTGCCGAGGCTTCCGCGACGACTCCTCTCTCACCGCGAGATGCCGGATGTCACTTACGCGCTCACTCAGCTACTAGCCAAGCGTGACGCGAACGTATATTCTATCCGCTGCTTCGCAGTGTCAAGCGGTTCGCCGTTGAGTGCGCGAAAAACAACGGAGATGGTTTATGTTCGCTTGCTCTTAATTTATAGGTAGATGGCGTAGCGACAAGCTGAACGTAATGTGAAATCACCGATCATTTCCAATTTGTTGCTGCGCATTTACTTTCTCGTAGTTAGTGCACTTTGATCACGGTGTCAATGAGTATCAGTGAAACGGTGTGAGCAGAGCAATACCCAGCCACTGTCCCATTAGCTAACTACTTGTCTCAATTTTAATCAAACAAATTTCCGTTGACGTAATTGCAAATGGAATAGGAATCTATTTTTATCAAATGTACACATTCAATTATTCGAAGTAGATCGAATTGGGCGATGACCAATAAAGATTATAATTTTAACGTAGCATCCATTGACTGGCCATAAACAGACAGAAATCTCCTTGGGAACCCATTAATTGCGCTCGATTAATAAGCGGCGTCGTATACTGGCGAGGCGACAAGCGACGTTCGTCTTTTTAACGATTTGCCCGAATGAAATCGCGCGTATGGATAGAAATGCACGCACATTATACGCAGGTCGCGCCGACGCGCGTCACTCATAGTCACAGCTCGTTTGCCTCTCCGTATACGAGGAAGTTGCGGCTTTATTCAATCGAGATACTATACGGCTCGTCGTAAAGTAGTCGCGCGTTATATCGCCCTCGCGCAATCACCAGGTGGGCGGCTTAATACCGACGCTCTCTGTTAATTGAATATTCGATGCTGCCTGCCTGATGCGCTGCGGTACGATGGAACGATGTGTTCTTCCAGATCTTTTCCTGTGTGCTCTTCATGGCTTATGCGAACGTTTTTTACAATGAGCAGTAGAAAACAGCTGAGAGTTTTGGGGGCTTACATATTTTGATCGGTTTCGTCGACATCTTTTGATGCACATTGAATTTTATAATGAAATATTATTGAATGCGCAGTGGATGGTTCGAGAAATATAAATTTCCAAAGTATTGACTGCTTTTCGTATTGAGATGGCGCTTGTTACCAAGAAGCGAGTCATCGGTTACCGAGTATATATCATTTACACCCGTCTTAAGCGAAATCGATTCAATGTCTAGCATGTTTTTGAGTAATTAACGACAGAGTTTTTTTTGTCGTCTCGACAGCAGCGAGTTTTCGATTCCGAGGGAACACGCCGAGCGAATAAACAGCCGGAAAGTGAAGCCGGCAAAAGTTCGCGTTTCTAATTAGCCTAGCATTCCACGCGCATATTCCGCAACGGCAGCGACGTTGTGTATACCATTCGCTGATACCCGAGCGCACGCGCGCACGCGCGCATAATTTCTCTCTTTCTTTACCTCGTTGCCCCGTCAAACGAAACAAAAGAATCGTCTCTGTTTTTTCTCTCTCTCTCCTTTTTTCTTGCTGTTTGTCGACGAGCGCGGATTTCAACGCGGAAGGAAAATTGTTGGCGCGGCCAACGAGAGAAAGAGGATGCGCGGACGTGTCATTAGCATACGCGCTGTTATACTCGATGATTTATCCGTTGCCACTGTTTTCTTCCTACCGTCTGTGTTTTCCGTCACAGTTTTGCACTGCGCTCCGTTTCTTTTTCCGCGGACGAACGACGCCCGTACGCGCGAGGCGGATCGGGGGTGGGGGGTTGTTTCAGGATTTTTTCTTGGCTTTTCTCTCGCTCTCGCGCGTATCCGAGGTTGTAATTCTTTCTTTCATTTTCTGTTTTCTTTTTTTCTCTTTTTTTTTGCGTACGCGGAGGGATGTTTATGAGCCAACGCGTGGGATGAGATGCCGTTGTTTCTGCTGCTTGCTCGCGCGGTAAATGTTCATTTGCCGAGGAAAAAGGCGCGATGCTATCTCCGCGCTTCGGTATTAATATGAATGAGAAATTATAAGCAATATGTGTTACGAATGTGCCGTGATAATAGATTGTATGCTAATTTTCGGGCTTTTTTTTTATTAAGAGAAATGAGCGAACATTTGCGGCCAAGAAGGGCTATATGTGAAATGTCACTGGATAAGATGATGATCTTACGTACGACTTATAATTTAATTGTATAATAATTGTGAGTATATTCTGTTACCAAAATTGTAAAAATATAAGATAAACAAACTTTAATACGATGACTTTCCAACATTTCCACGGCGTGGGAAAGATGATCTTTCTATCTAGATGTGCAGTACGTTTAGATGTTGCAGTTAAAAGAATTTTATTTCAACTTAACAAGTTTAAATAAATGTCAGAGTCAAAGAGTAATATTTTTAATGGATCACCACTTCAAGGCTTCCTCATCAAGCAAGCAATCTATTTTAGTTTTACAAAAATACGCACCAACCTACTCCCAAATAAATTTCACACAACAATCATAACAGCAAAGCACAATCTCACTGGCGAAAAAAAAGAACAGTGCCATTCATCAGATTCATCTGTCACTGCTAGCTCGCAAATCATCCACCCACGTCAACGTAGGACGCGTGCCGGACAGTTCGTCGAATTGTTGAAAAACAAAAAGGTGGCATGCGGTCGGCGCAAGAAGTCTTTTAATCAATTTACCGCCGCGCCACCGTCGAGAAAAACCCAGCAGTGGAATGAATTCGCAACTAATCCACTGACGCAAATGTATGCGGGTATGCATCGAGGGAATTTGTAGCAGGGATCTTTTTGGCTCTTGCTCTTTGCCTGCCAACCGTCTCTTAATTGATTTTGTCGGAGGAAAAAAAAAACGTTTGTATCAAGACTCGGTGATAATGAAGACGTTGAATTTATTATATCATTTGAAAGGGTTTTGCTTTCTCTGACTTTCCAGTTTGGCTAATAAAAGACTATTTCGATGTGACTTAACTTTTATTTCTATTTTTTTTAATACCGTAACAATTGAAGATCATTCCTCAAAGAAAATGTTAATTGCTCAACGATTTCTATTACGTCAATTCATTCGCTATAAATCTTTGGGCGCGCACTAAGTCTAATTATCAGATAGTCAACGACGGGTGATCAAAATTAAAAATAAAACCTCAACAGTGTCTTGCAAATGTAACCTTACAAAAGTTCACTGAGAAAGAAAAACAAACAAAAAAATTCGATTCCCACGTGCAAACAAGTGCAACAGTCTGACTTCTGGCAAGCAAGTATAAGAGGGACATCGGCCATTACACGCGGAGTGTGAAAAAATCCAAAACATCCGCTGTGGCGTATAAGGATGTATTCGAAGCAAACGGCTGGAATTTGGCGGCTTTGGAAAAATTTGGAGTACGCGCGCAAAGACAATCCCACGGGAGAGAGCGCGAGGGGGACGAGGAGGGGGGATAAGAACAAAATGTTGTCGGCAGCGCGAGCACTAAATATTGTGTTCAAGCGCGCACGAGGACACGTGTTCACCTCTTTTGCCAAAGGGATGCAAAGACACGCGCAGATCGGCCGCTACGATTATACGCTAATTCAACGTAAATTCCAGCTGAAGCGCACGGCAGCCCAAGAGCAGCCACGAGATATCTGTATCGGTGAGGCAGCATCGCCAGCGCGCCAGCAACAGCGAGACCAACTTTCAGATATCTGCCGGCTATCTTGCGCCAGTGCAGATGGAGACATTGTGGGGTAGGCGCGTCTCGCGACGCTCTGACGAGCGAAGCCCGCGAGAGGTGGGCTGATGGTACAAGTGTGCCGTCAAATCGGCATGTCCAACGCTTTCACCGGATGATCCGCATCGATTTTGTCAATAGCCCGTGGCAGTCCTTCTAATTGCCAACCGAGGAGAAACCGTCGCGACCCGAAAGGGCGACACATCGCCTACGGCCCCGGTCGGCGCAGAAGCATCTGTCAGCGCGAGAACAAGCGGACACGTCCACGCGAAGCTTTTGGCTAAATTTTCGAGGTATATCACTAGTCGCTAGGATTAAAGCCTCCGCCGCGAGCTCGTCGCTCTTAATTTCGCAGTTGCACACACCGAAAATACACTGTTACGCCAGCGCGCACACGTGCACGCGTGTCCGACGCGCCTGAACAGCTGCTCGCGTCTTGTCGACAACGTCGTCGTCGTAGCATGCGACCGCGCGGACTTCCGTCGGCGTAGACGGTTTTTTCAGCGCCTCGCGCTCGCGTCGGCACTCGCTTGCTTTGTTTTTTGACAGACAGGCCAAATTTCGACGATTCTAGGTCGTAGCGCGAACAATTTACTCGGATGAATGTTGTCACTGATGAATGGCTGCTCACTATAATCCTGTCTAATCTTCAAGCTCCCAATGAACAAATGTCAAACAGTATTCATTGCTACCCATGTACTGCTTGTCAACTTATCTTTACGATTTGAAATTAATATTGTTATTGTTATTGTAACTTCAAGAACTACGTTAACGTGGAACGCGACGAAGGTGCATTAGGTACCTGTACGCATGATTTTGGTCTATTTTAGTCATATGTATGAAGATCCACCTTCTTCACCATTTTTTGAAATGGTACAGGAGGAAAAAGTTCTACATGTATCATGATTGGACTTACAATTTAAGGTGGAATCCAAATCACCGGAATCACGGAAACAAACATATGACAATTTTATTTCTGAAAATTGTTACATGACAAAGTACTTTTTATTGTTCTTAGGCACAAAAAGAATTTTTTATTTTCTCGTAATATATTATGTTCGTTACGTAATCATATTACAATTACAAATCGTAATTTTGTGAACACGAGTTTTCTTGAAATCGCTTTAGTCGACTCATAAATCATTCGTTAAATTTGGTTATCTTTCGACAATCTACTCAGTTTTGGAAATAAAATAAAATTTAGTAAATCAGCTGACTTACAAACAATTGGAAATATTTGTTATGAGACGTAACATCGATTCAATGTATATTCATGTTTTACAGACGGCTCTTCATTGGGGAGCAAAACACGGAGACGAGAACATTGTCAAATTGATTGCAGGGACGTACGGCAACTACATAAAAGGTGTCAATGAAACCACGGTACGTATTACACAAACTCTACGTAGAAACTGGACTCTACGCCATCAGGTTAATTGATATTTTTCGTTGGTTTCCGTTTCTTCAATGACAACATCGCACGTAGAATGGGGTAAGTTATATTCGTTAATTGTCCCCCCGAAAAGTCGACATGTCGGTGAGCTATCGGAATGTCCAAGAAAGAAAATCTATTTCGCGCAATTCGCCATCGTAAACGATTATCCAATCAGGCATCCAATCTGCAACATTTCAATCTGAATCGCCGACTAATTGACCTGCTAAAGCATACAAGCGCTCGCTCAATTGGAAAGTCCGATAAGGAAAATCACGCTTGCGGGGCTTTCTCACGTCGACAGCGATTTACCCACGATCGATCTAGCGAAGAGTATATATAAGAGGGGGGTAAAAAGGGCGCCGGCCAGTCGATAAGGACATCAGAAAGAAGGAGCACACACACTCGCTCTCGCTCTCTCTCTCTCTCTCTGATAGGATCAGATGTGTGTGGTCCTGCGCGTTCAGAGTCTTATATAAGCGAGGGCGCTCGTTAGCGGCACCGTAATGCAGGGAAAACGAGCAGAATTCCAGACTTCCAAGATGTGGTCCTTTCTCTCTCTCTCGCGGGGTTCTTCGTTGCTAATTAATTTTTCGGGATTTATTGAGCCTAACAATCCAGTTATTCATGGAGGATTTGCATTTTGCTTACGTGCTTGCAATCAGTTTTCGGATAACGTCGCAAGCTTTTCGTAAACATGATCGCTTGACTGTACAATTTCCTTTTTTGGATGCAAATAATTTACTCGACGCTCATCCAAAGTGGCAAGCTTTGGTTGGTTTCAATGTCGTTTCTTTCAAGAGCCACGAGGAATTTTTATTCCAACTCGCGTATCCAAGCGCTTGACCTTCTAAATCCGTCGTCGTCGAATCGAAACGGAAATCTGTTTAGCCGATTCTTGCCACTTTTATCGCGCCTTCTTCATGAATCTATCTTCAAACGCAAAAATAATTCTAGCCGTGTGTAACAAACGAAAAAAAGAGGAAAGAATGCACATCTTTCGCGATTCCGAAAACGAGAAAACAGCTTGACGAAGGAGTTTTGCTCCATTGGGATCGCGGCGCGAGCGCCTGGTCCGCCCGTCTGTAAGACGAAGAAGAAGCGGCGCGCGGTGTAACCGGAGCCCGAAAGCTGTCGTCACCGCAGCGCCTTACATCTCTTCCTCTCTTCGTCTTCTTCCTGCTCCTGACGTAAAACCGGGGCGGCGCTCCGCGAATGGCATTGGCTATCGGAGCCAATGGCACCGCGAGCTATTTTCGTGAAATTTTTCGCTTCTTCTTTGTTCGTGAAAATTCTTCGTCGTATTGCCACCGATTGATGCATTCCACAGCGACTTGAAAAAATGAGAAGGGAAATAATTGCCACCACGGCCACCACGTGGACTTTTAAAATCACAAGAACTGCATTCGACGTAGCCCCGCACTATCTCGAAGCGCACGCTCGAAGAAAGAACGAACGAAAGTAAGAAAAAGAAAAAAAAAGTCCGGGAGAAAATGAGAGTGCGATTTTTGGATAAGTTCTTGAGACGATAAAGAGAACAATAGCAATATGGAGCAAAAGAGAATGCGAAGCAAGAAGGCAAAAAGAAGAAGGAGGAGAGAAAGAGCGGACAAAGCGAAATCCCCGCGAGTCGGTCGCGTCCTCTGGCCGTGGCGTCTCATGTAAATCGGCTAATTCCACGCGGTACATTAATTATCTCGTTACGTGTACGGGGCTGGCGGGAGGGGAGCGGGGCGAGGGGGAAGGGCGCGCGCCCCGATGTCGCCACCAAAAAAACCACGGCGATCGCATTCCTTGTAGCCAATTATCGGAACAGAGAAAAAGAGAGCGCGCGCTCCTCTTCTCGACTTTTCAGCGCTCTTTGCGCGCGCTCGCCTCATATACGCACTCTTTGTTGTATTGTAAGAGAGAGAGAGAGAGCGCCCTCTTTTTTCCCCGCGCTCGTCGGCCACCGCGAGGCTCCGAGCTAATTTGCTTTTGAGATGCAGCGCAATTTGTGGGACGCTGCGCGGATGAGGAGATCGGCTTAAGCCTACACGGGAGGATTTCATCCGCGTGTGTGCGTACGTGCGCGGGGAACTCGTGCGTCACCGAAGAATTATTATAAACTCTTTCCCAGCGCGACGCTCGATTTACATTCGACCTTGTCCTTCTCCGAGCTCCGATCGTTTTATTAACGAGAAAGATATCTCTCTGCTTTTCCAGAGAGAGTTTCAATGATGAATGCGCGAAGCTGGCCGACCGACACGTACAGCCCATAATTTGCAGCTGCGGCGTAAGCAAGAAGCCTCGCTCGAACAATGCAAGGTAGCTTTGGACTATGCCTATTCAGCAGACGCGCGTTTGAAAGAAAGAAAAAAAAAAAGAATAAGGTGCGCAGCGCGCGGCACATTCTTCGCGAGTTCGGAACACTTCGCGTGCGGATGCTGCGTGGTTTGCAATCAGAAGAAGCCGGCTGTAACGCTCGCGAGATTTTATCAGCTCTTCTCTCCAGCTGGCTCTTTGTCATGGTAAATTTAAATAAATTTTGTAAGACGAAAAGTTTTATTATACCAACATTCGCTGTGATTAATGTTTTATAAAATGAATATACGCAGCTCCAACGGCAAGGTAACACTGAAACCTAATTGAAGATATTTTCGTGTTTCAAACTTTCGCTTCCTGTCTGAGACTTATAGTTTTAGTTCTTATATCGTGGATGATAAAAACTAACGTTCAATTGAATTTATTAAACTTGAAAGGTTTAACGCACAGAGATACTGTAGATATAAAGCATTTCAATTCAGTTTCGCACGCTTAATATACACTTTTTACTACGACACACTCGTAAAGTGAAATTACTAGCAAGTCCACTAATTTTTCGTGTACATATTATACTGTTAAGTATTTGAAAATCGAATATAAGTTTGAATATTTTCTTCGACATCCAATTGATCGTCATCCGAATATAAGAGAAAGCTCTTAGTTTGCACACTTTTGCGACGTAAATGGCATTCGTTACGGAAGGCTTATTCTGTGAATGAAATATAACTTCCTCGCGCACACATCGCAAAGACGCATCCAGCGAAAAATGTAAATCAAGTCCATCAATATCAATTTCGTCGATGAAAATCTCAAGTAAGAAAACACGTGATTCCACGATAAATCATTGCGCGCACACCTCCTCGGCCACGGCCGTTTCGCACTATTAACGCGATCTCTTTGGCAGATAAATAGCCTTTAATATGCCGCATGACGCGACCCTCGAATTAAACGGAAAGAAGAGGAAGAGAGAAAGAGAGAGGGGGAGGAGGAAAAAACGGATTTTACAGAGAAGGAGAGATGAGCCGTATTTCAAGAGGGACAGCTGCCGGCCAATATCGCGCGACGCGTATATCACAATTCCCCGCGTGTGACTTTTCAATTTTTTAATACTCCCCCCTACCCCCCTTCGAGCGTCGCGCGGGTAACATCCGCACTGCTGCTTTACGAGCGCAGCTAAATCACGCGATGGACGCTGCCTATGTACTTTTCAATATTCTTCCGGCGATTTTATCACCAGATTGGACATCCGAATTTTAGGGTTATTTGATTTCCATGTCGATTGTTTTACGGCCTGATGAAGTTTCTGCCGCGTGCCAATTGCTGATAATCGTGACTAGGGCTGCAGTCGTGTCTCCGGCGGCGCTCGTTAAAATTCATTCACAATTTTCGCGCGCGAGCACTACCTAACATGCTTTTCGACATTACGAAACGGCAGCGTAACGTGAAATACTTTCTAGTCGACTCATCGTAAACTTTCGTGCGACATTGCAGGCCTGTAGACCGAACAAACAAAGTTATTTTAATGGAACTGATGAAAACTGAACGTACTGTATTGTTCTATCCGAAAATAATTCTAATCGTCATTTTTATCGTTATGGTTTTCCTTTCTAACTTGCCGTTCAAAAGCACAATCCGTTTAGATAGATGGCATATGTCGAGAAGAAGCAGAAGGATTTTCGTCTCACGATCGTCAAATAGGGAATATCAGAGTCCCTTCGCGTACTGCATTCGGACATGTGCGCGGTAGGCTATATCGAAAAATTCAATAAAAAGTCTAAAATCTCGATACGAGCTTCCGTATCGAATCGCCAACTCTATAATGTGCGAATTCGCGATTTCGCGCTTCGACAAATTGACACAGCCCTGCTTTCATTTCGCGATACGTATATATGCACCCTTCGTCGTGCAAAATAAAGAAGAAAGAAGAAGGAAAGGGGCGAGTTGGACTTTTCCATATACGCGTCTCTTTAATTTATTTCACTTTAAAGTCTCGCTCTCTGTTTATATGTATGAAGACCGGCACCCCTTTGCTACGTTATGCAAAAGAAAGCGACTGCGTTCGCAGGGTTGACACGCGCACGTGTGCTCACTTTCGGAAAGTCGCGCGATCGTGTGTATTCGTTGCGCGGTGGATTGGAGTCGCTTAAAATTGCGTGGCTTCGTTGCATGCGAATGTCTCTTTTGTTCCGTAGCGCCGCAAGATGATGGAAAGTCGTTTGTCTTCTTTTCGCGTTTAAGTTTTTACTTTTGAATCCAGCATTTGACCTATAGCTTGTCACTATTTTTATTCCCCGAATAGAGCAGATGAACCGGCTTGACGAGCTGCAGAGGACGAGTAATACAGCGTTCATTCCATTTCTCCGCAATGTAATTAATCGAGTCCCCCCTTTTTGTCAAGTTTAACTTTATCAATTGAAGTGAGTTGTGCTTTGCGTCGACAGATTGCGTTGATTCGAATCTCAACAAATTATTCAGTCGAATATCTCGTTTCGAGACAAATAAATAACACCAACAGATGAGCTCCAAGATAGTAATCAATCTGCTTTCACCCCATTGTGTGTTACTCGGATAAAAAGGCAGCAATTAAAAACCACTTAAGACGTCCGTCTTCATTAACGTAATGGACACTGGCAATTTTTGCGCTGCGGTATGGCTCTCACTCGAATAAAAAAAGAAGATGAAAATCAAAGGTGCAGTCGAGAATACCTTAACTGCGTCTATATACATAGCGTGCGAGCAGGTGGATCAACATGGTATAAACTTTCTTACGCTGCAGCTGGTGCTCGAAGAGAACGCGGGCTAATCCTCTCTTTCTCTCCGCGTTATACATTCGATCTTAATCGAGAATGAATTTGCTTCTTGGTTTTAGCTTTTTTCAGAAATATTTTCAGGCAATTCTCTTTGTTCTTTCGCCGGGTCAGGTGTCTATTCAATGTGCTTAGAATTGGGAAAATAATATTGCGGCGCTGCATTTTCGTTTTAGTCGAAACAGTTACAAGTAAACAAAAGGTGAAAATTTCAATAGGTTTTTCAATAGATCGTAGAAAAGAATAAATTGCCATTTCTGTGGGAGTCGCCTCAAAATTGTTGATACAATTTCGCGTTAAAAATCGATTTTTATACATTTACAGTAATCGGGACTTGCTTTCGAAATATGCTCGAACAGATATGATTAATTTTTTGGAAATTGAGATTTTTTAATGGAATCGACGTGTTTCGTTCAACGTTCCTATAAATCACGAGCATTTTGTATTTGAAGCGTTGTCGAATTCGTCGTCGCTGTGATCGTTTTGGCAGACGATGCAGTGACACCGCGTATGCGCACAGTAGCGGCTCGCTGCAACATCCATCCGCGAGAACGAAAAGGAAGAGCAGCAGCGGTGAAGCAGCCAGGATAGACTTTCTCCGGGAGCGCGATAGAGCTGGCATCTGGTTGAGGCGAAGAGGCGCGAATTATGCGAGACGGCACGGCTTATTAGAACGTCATCGCGCAAGACAAGACACGCGATGCGTGCTCTCTTTTTTCCTTTTTCTCTTTATCTTTCCCTTCTTTTCGCGGCTCGCGCCTCGCGCGGTGCGTGAGATTGTTACCCATCCGCGGCGCGCACCAGGAAGCGGATCATTCGCACGCTCCGGCTGATACAATGGAGATCGGCCTGTCAGTCTTGCATTGTCCTATGATTATTGCTTTCGCGGAGCTGCTACGCTGCAATATCGCCTTTCCTCCCGTCCTAATGGACAGTCGGATGGGCGAAGTTTGTCGTGGCAATGAGCGCCCGATTCATTATTTATGCGGCGTTTGTTAGCCGCGCGCGCGATACGACATGTTGATGGATAGGCAGTAGATCGGGCTCTCGCTCTCGTTCTCGTGCGATCTTTATTTATTTTTTTTTCCAAGATTGACCGTAATTTTCACTCGCGTTGCGAGCCAAGTTTTCGTTAAGACAGAGATCCGATTGGACGGTCGATTTGACTGGCATCGCGCGCATTATGCCGACGAAAGCTCACACCGACGTGCCGATATTAAAAAAACACGCTTTGTACATTTATTTCTGCCGAGAATAGCTGTACATTGCTCGTGTATAATCCTCCATATCCTGTGTTTTATTCATGACAGCTGCGCTCATCGACCGGTTATTTTTAATTGTTCTTTATTTGATTTAGGGTTACACGCCGCTCCACCTTGCCCTCCAGTTCGACCACGAGAACATTTTTAATCTCTTGGTCCAGGTCTACGGTAAGTCTGAGCGTTTGACAATAACGTTTCTGGAAAGGTGTCGAAAGCAAACGAAAAAACGAATCCCGATCGGCAACGCGCTCTGACAAGCACTCCGACGATCAGCGGCGGCAGTGACAAGAGAAGAGAGCACGGCGCTCGGGCAGCTTCGATGCACCTATCTCATATAATATCGGGCGTCCGATCGGTTAATCGAGGCAGCGAGCGCGCATACTGGCCAAACAAGTGTCGTGCTCGCGCGCGCAGCCCCCTTCGACTTGAAAAGCCCGTCAGGGAGCGCCTGGTTTGTTGCAGATTAGACGAGTTGCGCGCGCGCCTGCATGCGCGCAGCGTCCTCTTATCGCCCGTGCTTTGTTTACTTTTCGTCCAAAGATCGATTTTATTTGTTCTTCCGACGGGGCTTTCAAATTGTTAATTCGACGCTTTATCTGTTTGCTCGCAGGAGCCAATCAAGATATCCGCGATTACAGCGGCAAAAAGCCAAGGCAATACTCGATCTCTCAGAAGGCTGCGGTTAGTCAGGACACGATGCGCAGTAAGTTATTGCTTCCATATCCTATCTTTGTGGCCTCTCTATCGAGCGTATAATGAGACATTTCTCTTTATTCCAGTAATTGTTATATGGTTTTTGTGCAAGCTTTTTTTCATACTCTCGTCCGCGATATTTCCGTTAAAATCGTTTATTGTCCTTCTGCGTGTTCTCGTTTCCATTTTTTCGCTTCAAAACGGATCTGCCCGAATCGATTGGTTTATCAAGCAACATTTTAGTGTAATAAGTAATGCATGTTTCTAGATGGCCTTTTCTGTAGCAGTGATACACTGGAAGGGTGATTTATGAGTTATTTAGTAGCTAGATTTGATTTCATAGGTTTCGAGTGTAAATTTGCATGCTTATATATTTGTATGATTACAGAGGTTCTTACAGGTTACCCGATAACTCTTGGCCATCGCTTTTTCACTTGATTTTCTCTTATACTTCATTCTTTACAAAACGAAAAAACGTAGATACAGTATTGACAAATTTCATCGTCATCAAAGCATTTGAATTGTACGACTACGTATCTGCTTTTTATCGATTGCGCGCAGTAGTTTTTTTAACGGGATCCCAAATGAGAACTATTGCTCTAATAAAAATCAATTAGCGCAACGGCTTAGTATATAATGACAAAACTGCTGTGGTGAGTACTATTGGGTTTCTGGATCCATTTACTTCTGTTATAGGGAGACTAGCTGGTGCTGCGCTCAGGCAAGTTTATCCGTCGGTGAAAGCGCAGAGATAACTCTACCTACCCACCCCGCTATCTAAAAACAATCAAACAAAGTAGTATATTATACGCACGCGTATGTTTTAAAATTAGTGGAATATTCATTCAGAGCCATTGATGAACCTCTGAGAAAAAGCGACAAGTTCCTTTTCAAAAATTGTTAAATCGCTCATGGCAGTTGTTTATGCTCTTGTCGCTTTTTGCTGCACGTAGATATGAGGACTTACAAATTTATGGTGTAAGATTGTTATCGAAATTGACGGTTATTGTTACTTTATGAATTCAACATAGATGGCATTTTGGTAGGTTCATCAGAAAATTAGCTCCATTGCACACAATGTTTCAATCTTTAAGTTAGCTTCTTTGTACTCGAAACTTCTGCGCGTATTTTATTTTATTCAAGTTAACGTGAGCTTTTTGTAGCCAAGTAACATGCCACGGTTTTTGTTTGAACTTACCAATTTCTATCGTGACTTGTACGATAAATTTACTTACACTCATTTCTATCTTTAAAATTAATAATGTGAACAATTATGATAAAGAGTTAAATAACAAATAGCAAACATTCTAATTTGTTATAATTTTATTAATAATAACCAACATTGATTGTCATTCAACAAGCAATCAAAAGTGACAATAACCGTCGTGCGCCGATGCATGTGTCTACTATATATCTAAAATCTTTTTTCTTCCTGTAACAAATTGACGCATTTGCTGTAGACTCAACTCATCTGGGTAAATTCTATTGTTTTCTCAAAGCATGCACGCGCAAAGTGAAGATCTTTCAATACGTACTAAAGTCTTTTGCATATTTACCGACTGTACACACACTGTCCGACGTAATAATGCAGTACATTATGGGTACACAATAATTAACACTTACCAAATATGCTGTCCTACACACACACGCACGCGCGTGCGCGCAGTCAGACCAGTAGTTGAAAATACAGAAGAAGTAACAATCAGTGTCCACGCGCGTCGCCGCGCGGAGTCACAGTAATTTGTAACGTCTCCCATTTCACGTTCGTTTCGACGTTTCCTCGCGCAGTAATTAATCCCCCGATAGAGATCAACATTTGCACGCGTACATCGTAAAATGAAATAACACGGAGCACACGCGATCTCACTGACACGCGCGCGGCATTTTTTTCCCAAAGTCCAATGATTTGCACATAATACGTTGCGCCGGGATAGGATATTGCCAGTGCTACTGGCAGCTCACGTCAGTGGATACAGGAAAAGAAAGTAGACTATAGCTCACACCGCGTGAGAATTCGGAATCTTCATACTTTTGCCTTGTGAACTGGTTCTTCGAGCGAATGATTTTTTTCTCTTTCGATAAATGATTTATGCTTTCGTAACAGTACAGCCATTAAATTTGAGTGTAATAAATACAAAGAGGAAGCAAATTGAAAAGCTCGCATTTTGCGAATTCGCGTATTACGTAATTGCAATTCGCCGAAAAGCAAACGAGAACGAAAAAAAGCAGAATACCGTCGTATAGTTAAATTCGTTACATATTCCGGGCAACAATGGTCTATTTATTACGTGTTATATATTATGAAAAGAGAGGCCCGGAGGTGAAACAAAGATTACATACACGCTCTACCCCAGGATAATGCGCGGATTTGCTTTGTTTAATTATACACCGAGATAATACACCGGAGTTCCCCCTCCCCTCCTACTTTAATACCTTGTAATGCTAATTCATTAGAAAATTTAAAAGAGGCCAATTTGCATTTTGATGGTGTGTTAATGAGATCGTTAAATAATTTAAAAAGCATAAATGTTTCATTTGTTAATGTTTATATGAGCGATAAAGCTTCACTGTAGAAAAGCTGCAATGTTGTTGTGTATTTAGTCGTGGCACGGTGTATTCCAAGTCATAAGTTGTTATTGGAAGATCGGCTACTTCAAACTGTCGACCATTAATATAGGATTGTGTTGACATATAACGTGCATTAATTTAATGAATCTTGCTGCAAAAGCGTCACACTTTAAGGTGCATGTAATATTTGGATAGTTATCGAACTAATAGAAAACTAATTTATTTCAGCTTTGTATTTGAAGATGACAGTGTATCATTCTAATCATCTGACATTTATTTTCTGTTATGTTTAATGGAATAATACGATAAATCACAAAATTAATCATAAATAGCTTATACCGCTTCTACATGTATATTTACCATTTAACATTACCGCCTATTGTAAAGTACGTGGAGAGCTGCCCATGATAATACGTGTGTCTGTTTTCTCTTTCAGAAATAAAAGCAAGGAAAAAGCATGCAGGTAAGAATTGCTCGTCCTGGCGCAATCGAGGAACTTTCTTGCTTAGAGGCTAAATTTTAGCGTGTCCAGCTTTTATTACTTTGCTTTTTTTTGCATAAATTGCATGATTAATTTTTTTTTATTCTACTTTAATTTGTAACGTCAGTATGTAGTTCTACTGAAATTTCGCAAACTTGTTTTAATTAAAAAAGAGTGTGTTAACTCTGAAACGCTTGCCTTTTTCTCTTCCTCTGTTATCAATCTTTCAATCCTGATTATCTTTACATGCCTATTACTTCTGCTTTACTGCAATTGAAACAAACTATTACCTATTTGCTCTTATATTAAAGATGATGGCTAATATACTTTCGTGCATTCAAGAAAATAATGAAATGACTATTACATATAAATGTGCCGCTTATAATTGTGAAAGGTATTGGCAACAATATTCATTGTTGCCAATGCCTTGTTTGAACTTCACTCATCATATAAGTTGCGATTAACTTTAAAAAGAATTGGTGTAATGGTATCATCGAAGCAGGACACCATCAAGTTTTTCAATTTATCACCCTCGCTATCGTCATTGTTCGCACTCATGTGTAACAGAAATGAAATCTGAAAAGTTCTTTTACAACCATTATTGAGTTTACAACGTTATTAAAAGAAATATTACGGTAATTATCGTTCTTCGCTATACAGAGAAAGATCTTGGTTTTCTTCGTATTGGCTCGCTGAACGTCCGCGTGAAGCGCACGACGGAGGCTTTCAGTCAGTTCTTAGGAGTAGCAACTAATAACGCATCCAACAACAACGAGAAGATTCACAAATCGTGGGGTTCGGCCGACAATTTACCAGTAAACAATTTAAGCTCTTACATGCTGATTATTTCGTTCCCTACTCTTAATGACAATTGTATTTGTAGGCGGATAAGATGATGCCACCGCCGAAGTACGCACCCATCAAAAAACGTCGTAGTCGTCGAGCAACGGACTTCGTCTCAAACCGTCAGCAACATCCCGCAAGCCAACCGACAACGCCAACGCCTACAGGCAAATCCACGACAACAAGCCGTAGACCCGCGTCTGTATCTGCTTTGACGACAAATAACCTCTTGGCACAAGCCAATCCTATCAAAGTTGTACAGCAGAATGATTCCGACTCGGACGGCGCTTGTGGTTTCGATTCTGCTTGGCGAGGTTCCGCGTGAATTTTCATTTTTATCAAGACGTTCTGAATGTTCAGAAAATTGAAGTTGTTAGTTATATTGTAAATGATAAGTTATTTATGGATGATATATGATATATTTTAATATATGATCGTATATTAAAAAAGAGCATTATGTTAAAATTACTAATTGTAATTTAACAGATTTTTTTTTTGAACAAATACCACTATACAAAGTTATATTTTGCGACTAACTAGTTGGTAATTATTTTTGTATACTTAACAAGGATAATAATCATGACAATGAATCGAAAGTAGTTTGTACGATTTCAAACTAAATCTTATAAATATTGCTGTATGAACAGCATTGATTTTTATATCGAATACAACGTCGTATGATATTATTGATCGCAGATATCTGTGTGAATGCTATTAAATTTAAATATTTTTATATTCTCGAGAATAAAGCAAGATGCTAGCATCGTTTCAGTTTTTATTTGTACTGTTATGATACTTCATCGATAAAATTTGTTTGATAAAATAAAATAAAAATTATGAATTTGGATAATTATTCAATGTAAACATAGTAAATGACGAAACAGTTGGATGTTTATTAAGGGTTAACCATTTTTAAGTTGAGGCTGTCAGACGACACAGATTAATATATGAAAACAAATGCCGAGTTTTTTTAATATGCTTGCAAGTTTTAAATTGATTTCGTCGATTAAACTATAAATTGCCGAAAATTACAAATTTCTAGTAGCTATCCATTAGAATAATGATTTATCGTTTTTTAAGTACTACTACGCAGCTGGTAGAATTTAAGACAAACAATAAATACATTTTTTTATTTGAATATAAAAATAATTATACAAATTACATTGTAATGATACATTTTATTCGAATGATAAAGACAATTAAGTTGTACAGATATGAACATGAAATATATCTTTTTAAACGCAAATAATTGAATTATATTATAAAAATTCAAAATTTTCTTGTAAGCTGTATTGTAAAAAATGATATTAATCAAATAATACATTATATAGAAAATTTATTGAAAATGTTCTCTGTAAAGAGTTTTAAGTTGGTCTTATATTGAACCCAAACATCACAAGCATTTAATAATAGTTTATGTACTAGGTTGTAAATAAATACAAATAAAAATATTGATGATGGTATGTTATTTCCAAAAGTTATCAGTCAACGATTTATGAAAATGAATAGAAGGTAAGTATCAAGAAATTTCAATGATAGCATTTTTTTTCGTTCGGCGATAAGTGAATTCATTTTTATTTTAATTAACTAAAGGTCGAGCAATGAGACACGCATTAAAAAATAGTTAAATAACAAAACTATTTCAGTCGTATAAACGTTTTCGTCAATTTGTATTTGTCTTTTGAATGAGTGAAGTTTATGTAATCGAAACACATTTGGTGAACTCCGTGAAAATGTTATAAAATATGTTTTAAAAAATATTGCCTATTTTATTATTGAATGAATGAATGCCTTTATAAAAAAGCATGCGATCAAAAATAAAAGTACAACAGACTTTTTCAATGTGCAATGGAACGAGAAAAAATTAGTTCAACTAAATTAAAGACTACTCCAGAACATTTGATATTCAGTATTAAAATATTTGGATAAAGTGTTTAATTACAAAGTGAAACTTCGATAGTTTACAATATTCACTTAAGGTAAATTATGAGTACGCAAGAAATTACGCAATTTTTTATTGAAGATAAACAAATAATCAACATGTACCATTGTAAGTTAAAAAACGTTGAACTTCAAATTAGATTTTTTTGATCATTCACATGTAATAAAATATGATATGACATTTATCATTTCAAAGATTACAAAAATTACTTTCGGTTACTGAAACTTAAAATTTTCGCTCTCTTTATCTAATATATTAATTTTGATATAGCATTTTTTACGAGATTCAAATGCTATTTATGTTCTTTGATATCAAACAATGAGAAATATATAAATAGTATATGAAACTTTACATCTGCTGAAACTCACTTATTGAAAAAACTAACGTTATCTTCAAAATGATCTAATAGTGATCTAATAGACATTCAATCTAATATTTAATTAAATTTTTTCTTATTTTTGTCTATTTATGTGTCTGTCTCCTGACCCTCGTATCAATCACTTCTATGTAATCATTCGATCGAGTACATTCGATTCAATTTGTTGAAAAAAATTAAGATATGAAATGTTTAAATTGTAATGAAGCCAATTGATGATTCTGTTTCAAATCTCGAAACTTAATTTTGTATGATAAAAGAAGATCGAAATTCAAAATAAACTCCAAGGATTTGCGTCGACAATCACAACACACAGTGAACGACCCCACGAAAATTGACTCATACGAGAGCGGACAACTATATATAAGTAAACGCGACGGAAATATTAATTTAGTTCCATTTCGGCTTGTTCCGCGAAAATATTGGACGGATCTCAAAAATTGAAATCGTGAAGGGATTATGGCATGTGCAGTTTTGCGGGGGTCTTTGGTTTTGATCAGTGAGTTGATTATTTTTATTATCAATTTTCGTTTGACAATGTCTTTGTTATATTTTTACATCACCTCGTAATCCCAAAATCATGACTACGTTAATATTGTAAAGAAATCAACTAGAATACTTTTTATTTGTATTAGAATAGTTTCTTGAGGAGTCCATTATTTATGTTCGCGTACGTGGAATCAATGTTCTTCTATCGTTATTGATGTAATGCATAAAATTTAGATTTAGTTAAAAATTATAATTATTTTTATGTCAATGAGGGGAGGTCATTTTGATTTACGATAATCCCTTTTATTTTATTTTCAGTTGTTATAATTTACACCGAAGCGCAGGTAAAATAGCGATAGCAATTATCTAAAACAACATTCTAGACTACTTTTTTTAAAAATGTTATGCAATTTCCAGAAATCAGATGGGATAATATTTCCTGGTCCAACTGAAAGACCATCAAAATTTCCATTGAGTACGACTACATCAACACCCGTCAATTCTATAGTTTATATCCAATGTTTTAATAGTTGCCTCGTAAGTGTTTCTTTTAAATACTTTTAAAGTAATTTAAATCAATCGATATTGCACATTTATGCAATATTGTTTCTACTAGGCAACTTCGGAATATAATCCAGTTTGTGGAACAGACAACGTCGTTTACTCGAATCCCGGGAGACTCAGGTGTGCCCAAAATTGTGGAAAACGTAAATTTGCACTAATTTTGTAAAATTATTATTATATTGTATTTACATAACAATTATGTATTTATTACAGAAGTTGAACTTAGTCGATTTGGCCAATGCGGTAATAATACGAGCAGTTGACTATTATAATACTAATAAGAGAATTCATAAGATTAGTGTATTAGTTTGGACATCTATTAATGTACTAATGGTAATAGAGTTATTACATTAAATAAAATTTTTAAAAGTTTGTTAAAATGTGCTTTTTTTTCATTTCTTTTAAGTCCTTTTGGACTTTTAATCATTAATAGTAAAATTCTATCAGTTAATATTCACGTTAGTTATCAACTATCTTCAGAATAAAATTAAAAAGTGCTAAACGTATTGATGAAAACAAAATTTTTTGATTGATTATTAGGTAGACCGATTATAACTTATTAATTCGATGATAAAAAGAGACTCAAATTTCAAACATTCCTACAAACGATAAGATTATAATATAAACGACCTAAACTTTTATAATTTCAATTTTGTTAAATTGTTAATATTTACTTTTATAGGTGAATTTTATTCTGAAAGTAGCATATTTAAAAATGCTTATATATATGTGTGTGTGTGTATAATAATCTATGTAAATGTTAAAAAAACAAGAGATTACACCTTTGCGAATACTTCGGTGAATATTTCGGTATTTATTCTGATCAATGTTCGAACAGTAAAATTAAATTTCGAGCGTATTTTAGTCACATTGAATATTTGTTTAAGCATCATCCATCAGAGGGCGGCACAAATAACTTTTTTTTCACTTTTTATTACTTACTTTTTTTTAACTGTTCTGGTACTGTACTGCGGTTTTATATGAGTGTTCGAATTCAATCCTTTATATATAAAAAAAAAAACAAATTCGGTATGGCTACGAAGTAACGACTTCAAGTCGTAGCTTAACTGACTATCCTTCCAAGTTCCTAATTCTATTTGTTCCGTTCTTTATGCTTTAGCGGCAAAACTCAGCTTTGTATGAAATCTCGCTCTTGCTCACTTGAAACCAGCACACTGAGTTAACTATTTAATATATATGTAATTTTTACCATGATCTTTGTAAAATTCATTTTATTATAAAAAGCAATGGTTGGTATGCTGTTGCTGATACATCAAAAATATAAAATGTATTTCAATCGTTCACAATTATAAATGATTATTATCACACACTAATTTTTTCCTCTATAGTATGCTTATTCTTATGGGAACGTGAACACGTCTTTAATAAATAATTAATATGTAACAATGATATCAATACAAAAAATTCTAATTTAATTTATAAAGTATTTCAGTATGTTATCGGAATAGTATCAATACAACGCAGTTAACGCTGGAATAACTGGCTCTCTAATATAATTGGAACGAATAGAACGGGTATCTGAAAGGTATAGTTATATGTAGTAGCTACGATCTGAACTCACTGCTCGTAGCCACATTAAAATTTCTTTTTGATATAAAACCGAATCCGACCACAACTATATATATATATATATATATATATATATATATATATATATATATATATATATATATATATATATGTATGTATATTAACACACATACATATATATATACTGTATAAAGTTCCTATTAATAAAAACACTACTGTACTACACTATACTACTTTCTGTTATAATAAATGATCGCTGACGTTTATTTTGTATTCATTACATACTTAAAAAAGAAATAGAAATAATAATAATACTGTTAAAGTTAGAAATACGCGTAAAGTTCATTTAAAACATTGTTTAACAGTGCTACTGTAACGCAAAAACGTAATCATTCAACTTGACGCACACATTTAAATATATAAAAAACATATCAATTTAAAAGCCACGCTATATACAATATAAAATTAATTTTGGATCTAATTTAATAGTTAAGATGGTTTAAGGGCGACTAAATTTGAAATTTTCCATTAGCAAATCCAAAACGCTTAAGATAAAAAACCTAACCCTAAAACAAACAAAAAATTTTTCATTTTTAAATTAAATTTTCTAAAAATAATACATAAAAATGTATGACATTTGTCATCCGACAGTAAGTTAATCACTTTATATTTTCTAAACTATTACCGAAGTTTATGACAGTAATAATAAATATGAAATTTTGAAACTTCAGTATTACAAAATGAGCCAGTTAGGTTGTACCGACCAAGTTAAATTAACTACAGCTTTCTATGTATATATGGAATTGTGTGAAGGTAATTTTGAAATGTTAATATATATGTTGATTATTTCAATTTCAATAACAATTTTTGTACATAAATTGGACATTTTTTCAATTTTATTATTAATTATTTCTAGTAAAACGCTACTGGGATGTGGATTACAAATATTCAGAGCCATTACAAATGTTTTATCTTGAGGCTAAAAAAACTAAAAAGGGTACTCTTGATACATTTATACCATGGGCAGCAATCCATAATATTAGTTTAGGATTGATTAGTAAGATCCAACAGGAATTGAATAAAGAAAAGTAATGTGATTTTCAAATACATTTAAAATTTATATTTCATTAAATGATAAATTCATTATGAGTCATAAACGCAAATATTTTTACAGATTTACTTTTGTCTTCAAAGAAGGAGATACTTCATCAGTTTATTACAGCATACGTTCAGGTATTACAAAGTTAGTATCACCTGAAGAAACCAAAGATCTACGTCAAAAAGCAATGAAAAAGTTTAAACTAGAAAGAGAAATCACAAGAAATACAGCTAATTTGTATGAACGTGCATTATTATTGGCAATGGAGAAACAAGATGAACTTGCTAAGATTCATTGCAAAGTAGAAAATAATTTAGAAGGAACTGCTACTACAATCAAAATTGATAGTACAGATGAACCAAATTTTGAATTAAAAATCTGCAGTGATTCACTCGATGGCAAACATAATGATAAATTGCAAAAAGATAATACACTAAGTTTTAAATCTAATGAAGTACAAAATTATTGAGTCAATATCACAAAGTGTAGACATGAAAAAATCAGGGTTTTTTCAAAATACAAATACATAGAAAAAGGATTGATTGAAATCATGCATTAACATGACACTTGAGGTTTCAGAAAAAAACATCTAACATACATATTTATCTAATTTATTATTAGAATAAACTTTAATTGTATATATGTAAAAAACTTGCATAGGCATTATAGCTTGTAATCACTGTAAATAAGCTACCACTGATACTACATGCATCAAATAAATTATTTCTTAAAGTAAAGTTTGATTCAGATGTCTTTAATCTTCATCATTGTAAGGAAATGTAAAATCAAGGCAGGCATATTTTCATTCTTCAAAAATACATGTGGTAAATAAGTAACAAACACTTATTTAATTAAAAACATTCATTATTCATTATCTAAATTATAATTATATAATTATAAATTTTACTAAAGCTACATGAAACTATAGCTTACAGTTTAGAAAGGTTAGTAACCTTCTTGATAACTTGATTAATAAAAAATATGATTATTTAAAACGTTATTTATTGTTTTAAATTTTATATACATTTTCTGTAGTTAACGTGCCAAGGACATTTAATTTTTTGTAAAGTTGAAAAATAAATTATTCGAAATTAGAAAATGTTCAATGTATATTCATTATTTGTACCTGAACAGATTTCGTTTATTATAATAAAAATAGCAAGCAAACAAACTTTGGCAGTTTCAAATATTGAAATACTTTTTTAGTAAATGAAATAAAAACTATAAAACGATAAATTAGAAAGTATGTATTGCAATATAAGTGACGTTTTTTTATAAATCGGCACGTTATTAAGTATCAACTTAATATTTTTTTCATTCAGAATTGCAAAATCGAAACATTTTGATATTGAATCTTGTTGATTAATGATTGGTCTTTATAGGAAAGGAATTAAATAAAGTGATCACATATTCGATTTTTGCAAATTTTCAGACATTAAAAATAAATTTTTTTAATAATTAACATGTTATATAGAAAACTTACAATTATAAATTGAATACAATACATGAATAATTATCCAAATTTCAAAAATCTACTTTTCGTGTAAACGGTTGGGCTAACTATCCAAAACGAACAATGACTACAATAGTTTTTCAAAAAATTTTAGTGTAAAATAGTTATCAATCCGCATTGGTGGTCTACTATAGTTTTAAGGCAATTCGAGTTTCGAGATTAATTCGAAACTATCACAAGAAAGTACGGTTGATCCGCTTATGATTGTTACTTATTATTTATGAATATTGATTTTTTCGAACAGATTTCGGTCTATGCGTAATCAATGTAATGTGAAAGTTTCGATAAATATGAAAGATTGACATTCTTTTCACAACTAACATGATATGTCAATTGAAGTGTTTGTTTATACTAAAACTGTAGATTTTTCACTATCTTAAAGGATTAATATATACAATTTATCAGATAAAAAATATATATGGATGATGAGAAGCGCGATTAGCTTGTTTTCTTAAAAAACTATGTGATAAATAACATTTAATAACTATGGACAATCGGTGAACTTACACAATGTTATTATTTTGAGACCCTAAAGGTATGTTGAAACGCAAGGGTCGTTAATTTTAATTAAAGTACATTACAATAATTATCCTACAAATAACAATAACTATTTTTTAAGCTACTACTCGATATCTTGATTAAACAATTATCACAAGAGCACGAGTGCATAAATATTACATCTTAAAAATAACAATTATCTTGCTGCCTTTGATCGTTTCAAAAATTCTACACAATTCCTTTTTCTCGTACTTCTTCACAAAGCTTAAACTGTAAGTTTTATATGTAAAAACATTTTTTCATAAAAAATAATAAAATTTCGACTTTAACACAAAAAAAAAAAAAAAAAAAAAAAATACATTACTTAGTTACTACATTTTCAAGCTGCACAATGAGAAATGACTATCTCTTACACAATTTCTTGATTTTTTCCGGAAAAAGTATATAATTATCGCACTGAACTTACTTTTTTGATTTATTTTTGTTTTTAGCTTTACGAAAAATACGAAAAAGTTGCTTAGACAATGTTTCTAACCTAGAGGATTACACTGTATCACTATATACTCATTGCAATATACACTTCACAAAATTCAATAACTTTTAAACGCATGCGTTGAACAAATTTAAAAAATACAGTCAGCAACATTATATTGTCGCCAAAACAATTTCCACACCTTGTCCTTATAAAAATTGTCATGCTTGCATTTCAAAAGTTGTAAATATGTCTGTAATTTATAGTTCTATGTTCATTTACTACGCGTTATTTTGACACAAGGCAATAAACGTTAAATGTTTAACTGTAACACGCAATTAAAATATAAAAACTATACAAATAATTGCTGATCACTCAATCGATGGTTCAGTAAGATTCACATTTCTCTTTTCGGTAAATTACTTATAAAATAAGCATATCTTGTAACAAGCTGCACCACTTTTGGTTATGCGAATTCAGTTACGAATCTTTCTGTCATTGTTAGCACCAGTCAGCCATATAAGTGAAATCTTTGAACAATCCTTGCTCCAAATCGCTAAGTTGTCGAGGATCCTTAGCTGGCGTAAGTTGAGGCTTCTCGGATGTAAATTCTTCGTCGAAGTTACTAACGTCTTCTACAGATTGCTGAAAATGCATTTGAGATTATTTAATACGTTTATAAAAAATAATTGGTTTTATCATTATTTAACTCGTGTGAATTCCATTAGTCAACTATGTACATGTATTAAACGAGTGTTACATCCACATGTGTTTACTGATTTCGACGGATTGTTTTGATTCTTTTACAATCAAAGATATTGAGTCGTCATTACTCTTATGATCTTAATAAAATTTTACCACATTATTAAAAATTAATTAACCTAAGATTTTTAGTTCTATATATTCAATATAAAAAATTAATATTGTTAAGAAAAGAAATAATTCTAACAAACATTCGTACATTATTCGACAGTTGACTTATTAATATTGCATATCACAACAGGCAAACCTTACTTTTTTATCAAGTAGTTGATGAACGTGTGCCTGTCAAGACCATGAAAGACGTTTATATCTTTTGTCATATATTTGTAATATTAAATTTAATTATCGACCAGTCAAAAAAAAGAAACGTATTTCATCAAATAATTTTATATTATTAAAGAACAGTTGTTATACTTACAATGACTGGGACAAACGGGGGCTTAACACGCCTAAGAAGTAAGTCATCCCAATTGATGTGTCTGAAGAATGCCTGTTTTTTAACGTCTTCGGCATCTCGCTCGCTGCTTCCCAATCTACGATCAGGATTTTTCCTCAGAAGCTAAAAATAAATAAATAAAAAGTTAAATTCGAAACGTGTCAGATATTTTCCCATTATATAAAATTACAATAAATAACTTACTCGTCTCATTATAGCAATAGCTTCAAGCGAAAGGAAGCGAGGATAACGAACTTCGTCATTGACAATCGAATCGAATACCTCTTCTTCGTCGTCACCAGGGAAGGGAGACTGCAAATAATAAATTAAGTGTTCATAATAATTTCTCTTTTAAGTGAAATTTCCAACAAATGAATAAAGCATTCACCTCTCCAACAAGCATTTCAAAAATAAGTACTCCAAGACCCCACCAATCAACTGCACGTGTATAGGACGTTTCGGTAAGAACCTCCGGTGCCAAAAACTCTGGCGTACCGCAGAAAGTTCCAGTTCGATCGCCATAACCCATACCTTCTTTGCACAAGCCGAAATCAGCGATTTTTACGTAACCCTCGGTATCCAATAACAAATTGTCTAATTTTAAGTCTCTGTAAATCCAAATAAAAATAAAAATAAACATCTGTAGTTTAACTCGAGATTTCATATGAAAATCATATGATTTCACGTGTCCTACCTGTATATAATGCGACTCTCGTGGAGATATTGCAATCCCAACACGACGCAAGCAGAATAGAAAACCGCACGAGGCTCTCCAAAAACATCAGCATGAATGTGCATCATGAGATCACCACCGGCAGCATATTCCATGACGAAGCAAACGTGTGCCTTTGAAAAAGAACAATCATTCAACAAACTCTCCAAATAGAGCAATAAATAAGTTGACCATCTCTGAAATTCAAACTCACATCAGTCTGAAAGCAAGCAAAAAGGTTGACCAAGAACGGATGTCTGGTCGTATTAGCCACTTCGAAGATCCTCTTTTCCGAGAGCAACGACTCGACCTCATCTCTGGCAATAATGTCGCCCTTCTTCAGTGCCTTGATGGCGAAATACTCGCCGGTGTTACGATACTGCGAGAGTATCACTTTGCCGAAATGTCCACGACCAAGAACCGATAGCAGTCTGAAATTCTCGAGGCCCATACCCGTTTGAAGCTGCGACTGTCGGCGCGATTCGTATGCGCTGTCACGATAGTGCAGTGGTCTCGATGGTGACGCTACCTCGTATGATACCTGAATCAATTTATAATTGTTGGATTATTCTGATAATTGTATGATGAGGATACTGGAATGTGTAGTCCTTTAGTTAAAGAATTTGCAGGGATTCGTCGTTTCAATGCCGTCGACAATTAAACATAATATGCGAAAGAAAATAATCAAAAATATACGAAAAACTTTTACTGAAAATATTTCCATGCAATATCTTGTGTTCAAAATTACTGACTATTAAATTATACCTCTGGGTGTAGATATCAGCAATTTTGAATCAGAACTACATCGTAAAACATTTACGGCTTGATATTTGTTAATTCGTCGGGACACAAAAAAATTATACATTTCATGACGTATTCGATGTGTTGTTAATCATACGATATGTGATGTCTTGATATATGATAATTTGCCTTGTATGCTTTTTATGTATCTGTGTATAAGTTAATTGAAGCTTTTGTTAAAGAATGAGAGAACCTTTGATGATGTTTTGATGAAAATGTAATTTTAATTAAGCAACCATTGCGAAGGTATAGTTTTATTGTAATTGATGTATGTCATATAAAGTACGTGGCAAGCTATGTTCAATTTTATTCATAATTTTACCATTGTCATTGGTTTTCTATCCTAGTTATATATACTCTGGTTTTCATCTCTTTTTATAAGTACACTAATAGATCATGTGTGTCTCTAAGTATACAAACATTTAGACTATCCTGGAGAAAGCAAAGTCCTACGAAAATTGTTAATTATATATCTAAATAAAGCAAATCCATGCAAGCTGAACTATAGAAAAGCGAGAGAAAAAACTAAAGCAGAAGTTGATGCTATTCCTCAGCTTCAAGTTTCCATCGTCCAGCACAAATTCCAAAGGGCGACATTTACTGAAGAGGAAGAAAAAGGATGATGATCACAATCATAGTCGTATTAAAATAACAGTTGTTCAGTGATTTGAATCGTCAGTTAGTTAACAAAAAGCAATTGTTTAACAAAAAACAAAAAAATCATAATTTTTCAGAAGTACAAAAATTTTTTATAAAAAAAAATAAAAAAACATGCAAAAAATCCGCCTACAATGAAACAAAAAGTCCGGAAACTTCGATGTACAAAAAAACAACAACAACAAAGTCGAAGCCATGCCGCTTGTGGTCTTGTTGTCTTGGTGTATGGGTACCTCGTCCTCGGGGAACTCGACGAGTGGTTGTGGCGAAGGTGTGCGCGGAGAAGGCGGAGCAATAAGCACAGGCCTTGGCTCCGTAACTAAAGGCCTCAAACTTGCACCTTCAGTTCTTAAGCTCGACCTCTCCTCCTTCAGAAGAAAATCGAACTCTCGTAACGCGCTCTGCAACTACATTCAACAACTCCGGCTGCTCAGCTAAGCTCTAACACCTTTTTTCTACCTACTACACTTCGTCGTTTCTGGTGCCTTTAGGATCACTACAGGTATTGTCATTGAGGGCTCTTGCTAGATATACCTCTATTGAACGAGGTATTTCACTTGACATTTTTTTGTATTTTTGTCAAGTTTAACATTATTTGATATTAATTCAATGAATAGGTTAAGGGATCTATTTTTAAATATAATGAAATGTAAAATACACTTCATACTAAGATCGTTTCTAAATCCCTTAATGTGTTTATTAGTTATGTTAAAGAGCTTTTGAGCAAAAAATTTATTTGCATTATTAGAAGCTAGTAGCTTCGTTACATTTTTATTTACATATTTAGTTAAAAGTAATTAACTGTTAACAAGTTTACTAAACCTCGTTATATTATCAATTCAGATCACTGTTGTGTTTAGTTTGATTTTAATAGGTGTTTTTTTTTAATTAAGGACCCTCAACCAAATATTATTCAAACCATTAAATAAATTTTAAATCGCGTTAGCTCATTTTAAATAACTTTGCAGTACTAAATATGCATTGGTAAAATATTCCACTTGAGCTAGAAGTGCAAAAAGTGCAAGTTTACTTAAATGATCAACAGCTGTTATTTATCGGTGCTTCGAAAATTCTTTCCCAATGCATACACGCAACCAATTTAGATCAAATATCAACAATACAGTGAGAAAGTGCACGGCATCAAAATAATTACCCAAAGTGAGTATTTTTACTATAATACTGCGTCGAAAATAAAATGTTAGGATTACCTCTTGATCAATTTTCACAGATGGAGGCGGTGCGGGTACTGTGGGTTTTTTAGCCACAGGTGGAGGTGGCGGTGGATGATCAGGTGGATGAGGTAGCGATGTGGAGGACGAAGATGCGGACATATTGCCCAGGCTTTCGTTTGTCGACGAATGCGACATACCAAGAGGTCGAGTACCTCCAAGACCACCTTTTTCCGGGTCAGGAACCTCACCGGGTGTCTCTGCTTTGTCTTCTGTCGATGTGTCGAACGCGAGTTGTGAAGGTTGTGGAACTAAAAGAATGATAATTAGTATTTTTATCTCCTATGATTCATAAATAATGATTGTACTTCGTCAAATGTGCGAAATGATTGAGCTCACTACAATAGTGCACAAACAATTATTGACTATACGATGTGCTCATATATTACACTTTTCGTAGGACCATGTATCACAACTTCCCACACAAAGTTCGCCACTTGCGAACGAAGATCTTCGAAAATTTGGATAGTACTTGATGTGTGAAAGTGAAAAACAAACAAAAAAAAAACAAACAAAAAAAATAAAATGAAAAAATGACGAAATAAAAAAAAACGAGAGGTACTATTTCGAATTCGCAGCAATCCACTCCTCATATTGCGATCCTCACCCAAAGGCGGGCTTTCGGAGCTTCTGTTGTTGTTGAGTGTGCTAGGCGTGGACCTTTTGAGTAGCCTTCCCCATGTAGCCACATTGATGTTCATTTGATTGGCACGTGGGAAGTTTTTCACTTGCTGCTTGAAGATCTTGCGCTGTCTTTGGAGTTTAGGTTTCCTTGAAATCATTGGATTGAGGAACTTGATCTCAGCGAAGAGGAGACCTTGAGGTTCCAATTGTAACGCCATTCCATGTCTCACGTCGTCGATAAATTCCTCTAGTCGTAGGAATTTCACAGCACACAGTGAGCGCCAGTCCTTCCAGTAAATCCCGATTTCCAGTTCGCGAGACTTGTCTAGCTCAATCGAGAACCTTTGGTCCCAAGCTTGCTGTGAGCATGGCCGCCAACTCGTTTGCGCAACTGTCACGTTGTCAAGTTTGATCACTGCCATTATATCGTCTGAAAATATTTTATTTTTCGTCGATTTCTTGTTGATAAAATCAATCGATTGTAATGAAGAGCATGACCATTTATCAACTTACTACTCGTTTCATCTTTGACACTATAGGATTTACTCGAGCTACGGCCTGTGACTCCCTTAACAAAACTACGGAGATCTGGACTTGCTGGGTGGTCTCGTTTCGTGCGACCTGGTACTTCCTCCACCAAGTCTTGACAACCCATTAACCTCACCTAAAAATCAAACGATAATTACATCAATATTTAAATTACCTTGAGCAATAATTTAGTTCGTTTGAAAAAAACAGAAACGTACCTCCAGTTGACCAGTGACAGCTGCGCATCTTGAAACAGACGCTGGCATAGTTGTTCTACCTTCAAGAGGACCCCTAAACGGTTGCAATGAAGTGTAAGTGACTGGCAAAGGACTTGCAGATTGCACACTCGCAAGCTCGCGTTTCAACTGTGCTGCTATCGCGCTGTCAGCGGGTAACTCCTGTCGACGTAGCTCCAACGACAGTCGCAACAAATCGAGCTTCCGACTCGATTCAGCTAGACTTGCTTGTGCCTTAAGGGTGAGAATGAAGTTAATATGTAATTCAAAATAATATTAGACCAGGTCAAAACTAGATAGGGTACAGTGTAAACTAATGGCTCACGTACTTACTACATCTCAAATAAAGAAAAGGATTGGATAAGTAAATAATACAAAAGATATATTAACAATATAATCAATGTTTGTTTTATTACTATTATCAATAAATTATAAATGCTCACTGTTAAAAAGCAGAATGTTTAGTAATTTTTTTAAAATGTTCATAAAAAGTCAAGTAAACATTACAATATCGTAACAATAATAAGACGTGTTGCATAAAATTTGTAAATAAATTACAACAATAAACAATAACACTTTACAGTACTTAACATTACCATTAGTGATTATTTAGTCTTTCATTTAATATGATGAATATGATGACGTGTAATGATTTCGTAAAATGTAATTGATGAAAATGACGTATCTATCATAAATTACTAAATGACTTAGTAATAAAAATAGCCAAGCTTTCACCGTATTCGTTTGTACCATCTCGCAAAACGACAATTATTCACACTTATTCGGTACATCTAATAACTTTTAAATAAATTGTCGTACATATCGTACAAATGAATTAGAGTAGCTTACAAAACTATATCGTCTATACCGTTTCGGTAGCACCGATAAAGTCGTTTCTCGTAAAAATTCACCCGGCAAAACCAATCAACTCGACTCAAAAATCGAAAATTTAAAAGATTGAGGTTGTAGAACCTACAAAATGACGATGTATAATATAAATAGTATATTTTGTAAAAGTTGTTTTAGGCATAATAATCGGATAAATCAAGTAAACGTCTATATGTGTCTGTTACAAAGTAATTAATGTTATAATTTGTTAGCCAGTGCTAGATCATGTCCTACCATATATATATACTCTTCAAATATCAGTCGAGTACGCGAAAGAAACTTTGATATAGATTAAGTTAAATCAACCAAAATACATAATCGGTTTACTCAGAATACAAAGATAAATTAACTTTAAATATAAAAATTTTGCCTTTGTAACATTAAAAAAAATTAAATATGATATTGAAAAGTGTGTCAAACATACATATTTTGTACCCAATATGAGTTATCGAAAGTTATGTGTCAACCGTGCGTATTGAACTTTAAACTTGAACGTGTTCAAGTCGCGAAAAACCGACTTGACCGGTTCTGTCAGAACGCTACTGATTTATATATATATATATAAATAGCGCATTTGAGCAGAGCGCGTTTGGGGCAAACGGTGTTGCCGTTTTAAAAGTCCAAATCTAATTTTAAGCTACATAAATACTTGGAAAAAACAAAATAACTTTCACTATGTATCGTCTAACCGCGCACATTCCATTGTTCATTCAAAAAAAAGTTATTCCGTTCACTCCAAGCGTTCAACAAAAAATTAAAAGTAATTCTCATCCGGCATTGATCAGTTCGTCAAACTCGGTGGATTAGAGCTGCTGTTTTTCCTACGTCGTCCGATAGTATCTAACGACCTCGACCTGACCCTACTTTCAATCTCTTCGAAATGCCTCCTGCAGTGTTCACAAGAGCACGAAGGATTCTTGGCAGGTCCCACGTGATGGCCGGGTTTCCTGAAAGTATTCACTACTCTTCCGAATATCGAGGCTTTAAGAATGTGATCGGTACGTTCACCTTGAGGAGTCGTGAATGGTGAAGTCATTCTCGACTGAACTTTCGATAATGTCGGTGATGGCGATATTGAACCAAAAGGACCAATACGATCGCGAAAAATAGTAGTCTTCACTTCTCCAATGATCCCGGCTGACTTGTTGCTGTTATTGTCTAATGTGCACAGCATTCGCGACGTTGTTCTGTCGACCAGCGCTGTTGCAGTACTGGGTAAAGTCAACTTACCTCGTACGATACTAGAATTTTCTTCGCTCGACACGAAACTCCAACCAACTCCTTCGGCACTGCCGTCGGAATCCGATGAATCTGAACTACTTTCCGATGAGGAATCAACGGGTTTATTCCTCTTCAAATAATCCTTCATCAGCTGTCCCTGTAGCAAATGTTTTCGTTCGATCGACGGGGATTTCCAACTCTTGGCTATTGCCATGCTCTTGATTCTTTCTTTATCTAACGAGTCTGCGTAATCAAAACTGTCGCACGGTGTGACACTCACTTCGGTATCCTTCCATGACGTCGCTGACTCGTCGGTAATTCCCGATCTCGATGAAGCTGCCGACCACGCTATCGACGATTCGAAATCTCGAAGTCTACTGTACGAACTGAACTGCGACGGATACAGCGAGCTCAATACATCGTCGCTCTCGTACCCTTTGGAACTGGCTAACGATGGCATTCTCATTGGTACATTCCGAAAGCTCTCGCATCGCCTCTCGGAAGCTCGCTTCAAGAATGCTTTTTCGTCTTGAAATCCACGGGGAAGTATACTAGGATTCGCTTGGGTGTGCGTAACACGCACGTTACTACTTTCGAAAACGGTCGTTTGCGTGGCGTTGTCGTCGTCGTCGTCGTTGTCGTTGCTATTGCTACTCGATACTGAATCGTCGCCGTCGTCGTCATCGGTGCCTGTGCAATAAACGTCGATGTGCACGGTGCGTTTTCGTTTCTCGCTACTATCGTCCTCCTTCGTGTTATTAGCCTCTTCGTCGGAGGACGACGAGGAGGGTTGAACTACTGCCGGTGGTGGTGGTGTTGGACTTCTCCTTATCGGTGCTGCTGGTCTTGCAAACCGACCAAACTGCAAAGAATTTTGAGACAGATGAATCACGGTTATCAACAGTTCAATGAATGCTCGGGAGAATTAATTTTATTAACGTTTTCAAACATACTTTGTGGAATTTGAGACCAATCTTCATTTCATTACTTATTACTCGCGCTTTTGTGCGGTTCATAATACTGGAATTCTATATCATCTATTTTTATCAAGAAATTGTTACCCATACTTCAGAAATTGAAATTACGAATAGCGCTATAAGCAACTAAAAATACAAAATCTCAAAATAACCTCAAGCAGATTTACTCGATTGGTCAACGATTTAAAAAAATAAAATAAATAAATAAATAAATAAATAGTTAAAATATCGTGATCGCCTACAACTCACATTGTCATTGTTAATCTCGTCCCCGTAATTAGACCCATGCAGCACAGCTGGAGTTTTCCTTCTGACCACTTTTTTCCTAGCAGCAACCGGCGACATTTTGGCCTCGATGTCGGTCGTCTGCGTAGCGGTGTCCTTGCTCGTGGCCGTGGGTTCGCTTGCCGCCGCCATCGGGCGATCTTCGCGAAGCTCGGGCAACACATCGCAATGGCAGCGCGCGGGGAAATACTGCTGTTGTCCGTAAGTCGACTGATGCTGCTGGCAGTAATTAGTCCAGGGTCTCGGATAAGCAAGATTAGCGCGCTTGGCGCTGGACAGTACGATGCTGTAGGTACTGCGACATCGCTTGTCGCTGACTTCCCTCGAGACTTGCTGCTCGCTCGCGTAACCCGAATCCACAGGTCTGGAGACGTGCTGCTCGTGCTGAACGCGGTGCGGGTACGTCGTTCGTGGTAAGGTATTCGACCTGGCAGGCATCGTCGACCTCTGCGGCGGGACTGACGTGAAGGTTATGTTGCCGCGTTGAAAGCCGTAGCTCGGCGTCGGTGCCGGGTCCGGCGGCTGACTCGGTGTGAAGCTGTACGTCATCCTAACTGCCGACGACTCGGTGGCGGGTGCAATGGTCGCAGTTCGACTTGGCGCTTCGAGCGGCGATTCGGTCTCGCCACGGTGGATCGTGAATTCAGCGCGCACCGACCAGGGTCTTCCGGGCGTACTTCGGGCATTAGCTGACGATGGCTCATCGTTGCGCTTGTACATGCCGCTCTAACTAGCTGCTACGACTTGCTCGCTGGCGCATCGTGCGAGTAGCCGTCGGAAGCAGATGGCGACGGGAGTATTTGTCGCTTATAGCGCCTCCTTTGTCGAAGCACCCTCGGCAGGTGTACTTTCTTTCGCGATGACGAAGCTCCGAGCGGCCCGCGCTGTTCCGCGACGCTTAGGACGACGACTCTCGACTGAGGTAGCTGCTCTAAAACTTTCCCGCGACAGAGCGAGTCTGCGTATAATTAGCGTGGCGTAAATTTGGAGCGTCCCCAGAATACCTGGAAGCTACACAGCCACGTATCGTCGTGGTCGCGCTTGCGGCTCCTTCTGCGCGAAGAGAATTGAGGGCAAGCCGCTAGTGGCGCAGGTGCGGGCGTTTATAGAATTGGTGGCCCTGCGCTCGCGCCACTCGACAAACTCTTATTTTACACGATAAACCTTGACTGCCTGTGTCGTGTGTCTTCCTTGGGCAGACCGTAAGCTTAGACTAACCCGAAATGGCGCCGTAAGATTGAACTGCGACTGAGAGAGAAGCGCGGGGGAAGTGACTAGCTATTTTCAGAGCGAAAAGAGAAATACAGGGAGAGAGAGAGAGAGCGAGTGGAACGTGTGTATGTTGAAAGTGAAAGAGAGAGAGAAAGAGGATATTTGGATTGGAGCTTTTTTTTCGCTTGTCTGTGAGAGAGCTTTTGTGCTCATTGGCATGTTACTTCGTGCAGCCGAGGTTCAATGACTTTTTTCAAGAAATTGACGGATATGAATTTTCAGTGCTATCGGTGGTGAATATCGAAGGAATCTGCTTTAACAAATCTGGTTATAGTTGCAGACAAACAAAGCTGAATTTCCAATTGAATATAATTCTAATACGCATGAATCATCCAACTTGTTTGAAACACTGAAAATTACACTCTTCGCGCTCAGGCTGATAAAGCTTTTTAAGGATCAGAGGCACGCGCAAACATTTAAAGAAATCGCAATATAGAGAAAGTGTCGAAGAGAAAGAATCACCAAACGGATGTCAATGTTTTGTCTCGGTCGCAGCGCGTATGAAAACGTCGTACAACTTGGAAAGCGAGCCAACGAGTTTTTCAACTCGCCTCGACGTAAACTCGAAATCCAACGAGTGCCACTCTCCGAGAACAAAAGCTGAAAAACAGCACAAAACTCGTCGTTCGTGCGATACGTATCTTCGATTCGATTGAAAAAAAAAGCTTGAAATCATTGCCAAGAACCTTCAAAGCGAGGTGATAACAACGAAACTCGCGCGCACCCGGAAACCTGTTGATAAAGGCGCCGCGCGGCGTTTATCAATGAAAGGGAGAGGCGGCGCCTTTGTACGCCGCGCCAAATGAAAACACGACTATTTTTAGACTCGGGTTATTTGCTGTCACTTGACTCAAATACACCGAGTGATTCATTGAGCGTGTGCTGTATTTTTACGAACACACTGTTACACTGTACCCCGTGGGGAATCGAGAGTGGAGGGGGCTGTGCACTGCGATTTACACACTTACCTCGGCGAGAGCTTTTTTGTCGGCAACTTTGTTACTCTGCAACAGGCGGATCACGTTTTTCGCTCCTTCGACTACTGCTGCCTCGATCCTCAGCCTGTGACGAAGCTCTTCTACGCGTTCCTCGAGTGCAAGCTCGAGATTTGGCTCGTATCTCACTGGAACGGAAGATATGGCGTTAGATGTAACGGTTTCACGCGCTTTACGTATGTAATGTGCATAATAGAACAATGTTCAGTCGTCAACAGTCAATTCCTGCTGATGTTAAACAAAAAAACATTATTGCTCGGGTAAATCCGCGGCTTTCAAAAAAGGAACGACAAAACATGTCAAAACACGCATTAAAATAGATGACTGGTAATCTCCGCTGAAGAACAATAAACAGATGATACCGCAAACGTGCCGGAGCACGCATTACACGAAAATAATACGATGCTAATCCGCGAACGCTTCTCGCGCGCGAGGTCGATTTTTAACGACTCTAACCGCGTTGAATCGTCTACAACAGCGCGAAAAGGAAGCCAAAGCTCCTACTTTGATAATTAGAACAGTAAAGTTTATACTCGTCGGTAAGTTGAACGCTTGGTATGTCTATTGTTTCAGAGCGGCTTCACCGGGAATGGAGCGAAATCAACTTTGCGTGCCGAAGAAATAACTTTCCGATCGATATTAACCTCGCGGTAACGTAGCCGCGATCTGGACGCTTTTCCAGGCGCGTGCGCGCGTGAAGAGTAATTCAATCGAGGAAAAGGAAGGCACGACGGAGCACACATTTGTTGCAATCCGTAACAAATGTCTTCCGCTGCTCGACTCGTAATTAAGCGTCTAATTCGGTTAGGTATCGAGAGCGCGCCTCCGGCGATTTCGTGGGATAGCGCGGCGGCGTTGTTGTACTCGTGCCATCTGGCCGGGATATCTTCTGCCTCTCGTTGCGCAAAACTCCGCGAATACGATGATCGCTCTTCCTCTTTCCCGCCGTGACTCGGCGCAGTCGAGCTCCGGCTGAGTAACGCGACGACGCGGGACCGATGATTGGCAAGGAGAGCAAAAAGATTGGACATGCGCTTGATTCGACCGACTGTTCGCGAGTCGGATGGACCGACCGACGTGGTTCTGTCGTTGGATTAGGACAATCGAGTCTCGATTGGCAGTTATTTTGGCTCGCTAGCGATAAAACTTTCTCCCTAATCGTCGATCGGATCGAGCCTTGAGTCTACGTAACAAGAGGTCCAGGCTAAATCCGAACTTGCTATTACGGCGCGCGGCGGTGAGCTGAGCGCAAAGTGTGGTGGTTTCATTGACCTTTGTGGCAAGAGGCATCGCCGTTGGGCGCTGGCGCTTGATTCCTCGCGTGCTGCTGGTCGCGCGCCTGGTTGAGCTTCATGATCCGCATGCGCAGAAATTCAATCTTGGCGCGCGAGTCGTCGAGCATTTGCTGCGCCTCCTGCAGCAATTTCTTATCCCGGTGGCCGCTCGTCAAGCTCTGGATCATATTCTCCGCGCCCTGCTTCACCTGCAACAACAGCCGATCCCGTCGTTGATCTCCAGGTTAAAACAAGAAGAGGAAGAAAAAAAACTGCACGCCGGCAATGCTAAAATAGCCCCGACGGGAATGCGATCCGTACAGGTTTGTCACCGCCGACACGCACGCTTGACTGACATTGCCAGGACAAAAGCAGATTGGGCTTTATTTTCGGCCGCGCCCGACAGCCTCTTCAATCCCCGCTTCGATTTGGCTATTTTCGCGGACAGCGCCTGCAACATTTTTTTTTTTTTTTTTTGTGTGACGGAGAGCGAGATCGCCGATGTCCGAGAAGCGATTGCAATTTTCACCGATCGCCTATTAATCGATCGGATTCGTTCGGAAGAACACAACCTCCTTACGACAATCAATCCTCGTAATCGCGTTCGCGTAACAATATGCATGTAATTGCAGCGTTGTAAAACGATTGCGTGACGCAACGAGAGCAATCAAGTTGCATACGAATGTATCTCGCAATTTAAAGAAGCACAGTTGATCGCTTAGCAAACAGCGGAGTAAGTAAGCGATTTGCACGTAGGTGGAAAACCACTTGGCGCCGTGATTTCCGGAGCGCGAGCGGCGTTGCTTCGTGCATTTTTTCACACCCGTACCCGCGCCTTCCGAGAAAAGCTCAAGCCGTAAAATTATGGTGTACTCTTTTTTTTCCACCCGCTTGCTAATTAACATCGACAGCCTCTATATATTTACAGGTTACAGATCGTTTTCCAGACTACGCTGCCGTTACTTGCGTCAATATGTAATTATAAAAGAAGAGTTTGTTTCCGAGAATAAAGCAATACTCCCGTGTCGGCGTCATATTAGCCACGCACGAGTGACTGTCTGCGATATTTTAAAAGAGAGAGAGACGGTAAACAAAAAGTAAATATTGAAGCACAAAAAAGAGTCTGTGGTCGGTTCACACTAACGTGTTTTTCAATTTTCTGCCGCGACCTTGACGTGCGAGAGCGCGGTTGAGCTTCACTAATTTTAAAAAAAGAGTTTCGCGCAGAGGTGATTTTCATAAGCCTGTGTTTATTCTCTTATATAAAGAGACTACCTACATTCGTCATGCCGGAAGTGGAAAACAAAAATAACGCGGATATTACTTGTTTTTACGCTATGAAAAGTTTAAGAAAATTTGGACATATCAAATGTAAGATTATAATTTTTTAGTTGTTTTATTATTAACAAAAAACGTGAACATCGTTCATTGGAAGTCGTCGGAATATCCATACATAGCGTTAAATTTTAAGCGATCAATAGTACATTTCGATACTAGCGCTAGAAAGGTAAAGGTATTTGAGCCTCGTGCGGACGTTTACGCCCGAAGGAGGCGAGGCTGAAATCGCTTTCTCGCAAACGCATTCAACTTGATTTTTCGATACGATGCTTTCCCGAGCCTGTGCTAATCGACTCACTCGTGCACGGAGTGTAAAAAACCTCATTTGATCAAATTTGCACAATTTTAAATTCAGTAAGATTGAAAAAACATTAAGTCACAGCTTTTCTGGCCAATAATCGTTATAATTTTGTATCTGTATTAAATTCTTGACTAGGTGCAACAATATCAATTTTATTCGCCATGTATTAATGCACTAGTTATTTGAACACATTAATCATTGTATTTATAAATGAACAGAAGAGGAAGGATTATGATCAAATAAACCTTTCTGCCTGTTTACGTGTCATTTAAACGATCCCATACAATATTCATTACAAAAATCCGCTCATCAAAACAATGTAGAAACAAACTATCACTTCCTCCTGATAATCGCCGACCACAGCAGAAATACAATGCACACACACGCACCTTTCTCCATAATGACTTAGCCATGACTATGAACTTTGAAAAATCGCGTATAACGTGAACAAGCGCGTAGTTAAGAGAAGATAAAACTGCGCATTTGCAAAGGAATCGGCAAAATCAATATGTATTCCCTTGCTCGGGCACGCTTCCACGCAAAGACTGACCCTCCGGCCGATAGCAAAATCTCTCTTAAACCGATTAGCCGCAAAGAGAAGGAGGCTTCTCTCCTAGTGTGGTCGTGCGGGTGACGTGCGCGTCGTCTGTGCCACGCACGTAAATATAGTCTTCTACCCCTTCCACTCGATTTTCACGATTATCGCCTCCCTAGCTGGTTTTTCGACGACACGTGCTATGACCAAGTTTATATTTATATAGGTCATCGCGCGCAGGTGTGCCGCGTGCTTTTTCGTGTGAACCATGCAAACATTAATTAAGTCGAGCTGAGGTGTGTTGGCTGACTATGGTTATTGTCGAAATATAATCGCTTGTTTACTCAAAGTCCAAATAAAGTGATACTCCGGTGTCGTATGAAATGACACTTTTATTTTATTTCTTTTTCTTCGAGCTATTTTCAAACGTTAATGCCTTGCAAGTATACGATTTAAAATGCAAACCTGAAATCTGGAAAACCTACATACGATTAATTATACGAGGCTGACCTTTTGTTCGATATTGAGCTGTTTTTCCAAGGAGAGCAACCGAAGGTCCGTGAACAGGCCATCTTGATTAGGCGACGATGGACCTGTCGGTGACATGGGCGTATCTGCAACAAAAAATTCAGATTGTCAATGAACATTCTAAAGAACTGAAAGAAAGATTCTGTATTTCGCAGGACGAGCAGGCGAATTCGCCTCGCCGACGAAACTAGCAATTAAGTACACCAACGAAAAAAAAGGGGGGGGGCATAACGAAGTCTGAAATCGCAACTTCCGCAAATTCAGCTTCCCACTATTCGTATACCAGCAGCTCGTCAAAGCAATTGTGGGTTGGAACAAACGCAACGGACGAGCCGCAGCTCGAGGACAATGCGCGAAAAATTTCTTTCTCCTCGCTACCGTCATTGTGAAGTGCGCCGACAATGAATTTTCACCGCCGCCGCGCCGCTGTAGCTTCGGATTTTCTCGTGGGAGAGTTTTGTCGTTTCGCCTAATTTGTCAGTGAGAGCGTACGTACTCGCTGTATTGTCACAGAGATATAACGGAAGCAAGGTTTTGATAAAGGCTTCAACAGCTGACATTTTTATGCAAACGCGAAATGGAGAATTTCGTGTGTACCGATGAGATCTCGCTCGAGTACAATGTTTCTCTTGTGTCTAGATTGTGGATTTTTGGGTCAAGCGTGTATTTGTTTACTGTGGGATTGAGTAAAATTCAATCGTCATGGCAAGAAAAGAAAAATAATTTTGTCATGTGAAAAAATTAAGTAAGGTTCGTTTCAAATACATCGCATTGAATAAAATAAAAAAGTTTTTCGAATAAAAAACGATATTTGCTCTGATACCTAAAAAGTCATTATCGATTAACTAACCCTAAACTCAAAATTTAAAAACATAATTTTATAACAATTAAAAATGAAAAAAATTTCTAATTGATGATATTGTTTAAAAAAGAGCATAGAAAACTCGCCAACGGGATAAAGAGGAATGAAATAAAAAAAAAAAAAAAAACACTAAAACAAAAAAATTAACTTAAGCACAAAACGAAAAGAGCAGTATCCTGTCCACTCACTGCTTTTTCACGCGGTAACTGCACAGAGTTCCGGCCATACATAGAGAAACCGTGAAGCCGCATCATAATCGTAATTGCGCCCTTCGGTGTGTGAGTATGTATGTACTTTTGACGCGCTTTCGCTAGTCGTGAGACGAAAGCCTTCTCTAACGACGCATCCAAGAGGCGCAAAAAAGAAAATAATAAAATGATAAATAATTATTCTTGATCGTGATGCTTATTTCAATTTTGGATTTTTTTTTTCGACCAATTGATCATAAACTATATTTTTAATTCGTTCTATCACGACGTTTGAAAATATAACTGGTAATATTTTTATAACTAATCCATGCTTGTAATCGATTTGAATTTGCCCATGAAAAGAAATGGTACCCATAGTAATCACAAAACAACTTTTATGAACATAAATTATTCAGTATACAACTATTACAACTTGCTCAATTATAGCGACTCAAAATTCTATAATTTATTACTCATTGCACACCCAAAAAACGATCTTGGCAATTTATAGCAATCTCAAACGACACTCAACTCATTAATAATTCACGAGTACACATCGTAAACACAGATTTACATCAAAAAACATAAAAAGACTTCTTATCAAAAAACAAAAATTTGCTTAACAAGTTCACTTTTACCAAAGCACACAAAAAAAACAAAAAAAAATAGATTATAGGTCAGGAAGTCAGCGAGACAGAACGAGAGATAAGTGACGATGGTAACGGGTGTTTCTCCTTGTGCTCAGGTGAAAATGGCAAGGAAATCGCGGTCATGAAGCCAAGTGTACATGCACACATACCCGCTTTACGTCGATTATTGCAGCCAATTTTCTCAGCACGTTACGTCTTTCTCTTACCTCAGGTAGATAGGAGGTAAGGCGTCTCTTTGTGGAAGTTAACTTGGAAACTTTTGATATATTGAAACGAATTTATTTGCCATGCAAGTTTCGCTATCGTCAATGCAAGCTTTATATATCCACAATTTCCAACCGACAGATACTTCTTTTATATACAGTAGCAGACAGACAGAAGTTGTACGTGTGACGCTACCATTCAGAGGAATAAATGAACTGTTATTGGATTTCCAGACGACATTGTACATTGTAATCTATCGGAAATTTCCTCAATACAATACGCATGACAATACGCGTCGTTATGTCCTTTTTGAAAAATTGATTTCAACGTGCAGTCGTACACGACGTATTTACCTCTTCCGCTGTTGTGGTTTATAAAAGGACGCACACGCAGATAATTGGGCTGAAGAGCTCGACTCGCAGAAAATTAAGCGGAGCCGTGCACGAAATGAATTCACATTTTAAAGACACTAAACTTTGTTATTATTCATTAAGTGACGACGAGTTAATTAACTTTTCTTTACGTCCCATTAAACTTTCTGCGATGAAGTAAGCGATATGCCGAGTAAGTTCGGTCAGCGTGTGTTGCAAAAACGTAAACAAGAACTTGAAAGGTACACGGTAACTCGGTTTAGACTGGAGAACCGTAACGATGATTTTGCAGTCTTCGAATTTTTACGCGTATTCCTAACTGAGTTTCCTTCCAAACTCTCTCGCATTTACGAACAGCGATCAATTACAAATCTCCGGTTGCACGTTAGTCGCAGCTGCGGGTTCGCCGTTTTACAAGTATAACATCCAAGCGTCCACGTCGGATAAAAGCTTCCGTGCGCAAGCGCTGTAGAAGACGGAAAAAGAATCGTAACACCACACCCGCGAGAATTATACGCTGGGGTGTGTCCGTCTCATCCTCTCATTGTACGACACGTGTCCGTAATTTGTTTGTTCGATTTTTGCCCCGTTTCAACGTAAAAACTTGGCGGTACAGTTCGATAGTACGCATCGCTTCGCGCACGTGAGGTCAATGTACTTTTGCTGAAGGAAAAAGAAAAAAAATAAAGTATAAGAAGCGTAGAGGCTGAGTGGCTCGCGAGAGAGCGTCTGTTGCTTGCATTAATGCGCGTGGTGAACTCTTTTCGCGGAAGACAATCGCGATTCGTGATTTATTTTTGAAGGAACGTTTATCGAAATGCTTAGTCTCGCTGTGACAATTATCGTCAGATCCTCGATACGATTTTTTTCGTCAATTTATCAATTGATTAGGACAATTCCAGCTAATCTACTTTCACTCCCACGTCGAACGACACAAATTGCATTGCCTTGTCGGAAATTCAGCGGTTTAATGATCGACAGCTTTCGATACGCATAAAACTTGTGTATCGCATTTAATTGTCGGTATACTTATATGTGCCTGAGCACGATCACTGTATTGTAAAGCAAGAGCGCGTGCGGAGGGATAATTAGAGAGAGAAAGAGAGAGATCAATCGATCGATCCGAGGATCTCTTTTGTGGAAAGTTGAGAAAGCTGAAAAGGTAATTTCGCGTGTCGAAAGTAATTATTCGTAAATCTCGACAGCAAAAATACTAGCGATTTTCCTACACGCGAATTCTCTTAGTCGGATAATTAAGTCGTCAATTTTCGTTTGAATAGTTTTGTTTGCTAAAGTGTAACTCCTGCGCTATCTGGTATTCAAGGTCAGACGCGATGCAGAAGCGTGTGACGTTTGGTTTATCTTTCGCACTAGTTTGCATAATGTACGAATTACAATTTCTAATTCCAAGTTTCGAGCGTCATATAATAAATCTTCGATTGTAAGGTTCATTTCTCACACGCAATCGTACAAGATACAAAATCAAATTCAAACGAACTCTCGAATTTACATTTTCAATTTCGACATTATACGGGTTTACGAGAAGTAAAGCTGTTAAATTTTACGAGCTCTGTGCAGCCAGACACTCGTCAAACTTTATACTTGGATCAAAAAGTGATTACAGCAATTTTGGTTATGCGAATTTCGTTTCTTGTTAATTGAACTGTTTTTTTTCTTTTCTTATATTAAAATTGCTTTTCTTTTTGCAAGCTGCTGCAGCCGCGGACGATCAAGTTATAATAGTGGTGTGATTTCATCGCTTTCTATCTCGTTGCGTTTGCCTCATTTACTCATTTAAATCACGCTCGTCTGATATGTCGGAATAGAATGGTAGACTGCGCTGGATATCAAAAGTAAAATATTGATATTCGATTCATTGTACACTGCGCATTACATTCGCCAAGCTTGTTTCATTGTTTAAATATTTTCAATAAAATGCTACGCGTATGCATCGCAGCCAGCAGCATAGAATAAGAGCCGTCTGGAGCAAAGCATCACTAACATTATCGGTCACTTAGCGCTTACGGAGTCGCCGCATATCATTATCGTCATCGCCAGCTGCAACGGCAGCTGCAAAGTGAATGACGTACGTCATCGTCCTTTTTTCCGCGCCTCGTATTTTTGCGTCAGCTTTCGTTACGTGTAGTTTATCACACACTCTGTGTGTGTAAGTACGTGTGATGCGGACAATTCGCGAAAGGAGATAACGGAATCGGAGGAAGTCGGAATTACGAGACGCTTCGTCATTGCGACAGCTAAAGAAGCGCAACCGTTGACCGAATATTTTATCCCTCCGTTGAGAAGGTTTATAATGACAGGCGCGACTGTGCATTCGAGTGCGAGCGCTAAGTCTTTAAGCGTCCACTTTCGACAGAAGCAGGTCCGTCGCGCACGCACGCACAGTTGGCAGTGTAATCAGCGAGGATGGGAGATTGATCAGTGTGAAAACCAAGTGTGCGCGCGCGCGCGAGAGAGAGAGAGAGCAACGGTTGATTGTGCGTTGCGCGAGAGAGCAAGCGCATAATGGAGAGTATTGCCTTTTGTCAGCGATTTATTCATAGAGACAGCGGTTCATAGTCCGCGACACGCTGGCAGTTAATAATACAGACCTATACGATCGAACGTGTGCCACTACTGTTTTTCTCTTGCTCGTCTCGCTTCGAGGAAACAATTACCGCGTGACGGATTATCGACCGACATTAATGCAAATATCGTTGTTACATTTTTTATCGAAATTGCATTGCCGCGCGTGTCTCACGGATGAGCTATTTCTTGCGCGGAGAGTGACTGTAGCTTTGCGCAACGCACTCC